AAAATAAACAACATAGGCAGGAAATATTTTCAACACAATCATAATTTCATTTTCTGAACAAATTGATGTGTAATATATGGGACAAATCCCCACTTGTAAAAACATAACAGGAAGTTGAGAAAAAAAATGTAAACATGACTTGATGCGCTGTGGCAAGGTCTTGTGAAAGTTTTTTGAAGAGGTGCATTTGAGTTGAATGAGGTGGAACTAACTTTCTGTCGTCTTAAAATAAACATTTTTGTGAAGTTACTGAAAATACTCTGTGGCATGAACCCTCCTCCCATGGCATGAGCAGCTTGGAACAGGACTGACTTGTAATGGTGTTACTTTTATACCTGCAAACCTATTCAGACATTGGGAATTGACTGGAAGGGACTGAAAGGAGTGCTCAGTCCATCTCACAGTCCTTGAACCACACAATTTTCCATCCGACCAACCCTTTCTGCAATGGTAAAGCCCCTAATGAAGCAAGTCTAGATTCCCTCAGGATGTGTTTCAAAGTCTAGGTTATGTTTGGAGTTTTGTTTATGATTTCCTGCTAAACTTTGAATAGCTGATGTTTGTGTTCACCTGAGATGGACCAGCTGTATGATCAAAGGGTTGCTTCCTTCCTGTTCCCTTACAAGTGTATAATATGACACAATTTATCAGTTGCATCGGCAAGTGCTTGAATGGCAGTTACAGGAGTATAGTGAGAGGTACAGACCCGACTGAGACCTATTGGATTTTGTGTGAATGGTAAAATCAATCTGATGTCCCGACACTGGCTTTCTGGAGTATCACACAGGGGTGTGTACCATTGTATTTGACTTGAAAACCATGGAAATGTGATCTGCCAAAAGCTAACACAGTTCAAAGAAACTGTTGCACTGCATACATAGAAAGAAAGCATAATGATTAATACCTAGGCTTCCAAAACAGTTGTTGTTGTTAAATACAGAACAACACAGAATTACCACCTTTCTTCATTTCCAAATGTTGTGACAAATGGAATAAGTATCTGTAGACGATAGGTTTCTGTAGGGTTAATTCTGTAATAAAATCAAGAGAAACAAGCCACATTTTTCCTAACAATGAATCTCATGTGAGATTTCATGATATTGTTAAACACAAATTCAGTGTTTTACCAGCACCATGCCTGACTAACACGACAAATTCCTGTAATCCAATAGAGACATCAAAGGGTACACATCAAAGAGAGAAATTATCTAAAATCAATGCAGTTTCTTTTCAACTCTGAAAATTATAATCACTGAGATAGAAATTAGCATTAATCTAGTCCCTCAAGTATAAATGTCTCACACTTGAAATGCCCAAGGAATCTGAAAATTTCTTATTTGAAGAGCAAAGCGTGTTGTTAACGATTGAATGGATACAGCGGGGATAAAAAGTTTTCCATGGTGGTAATTCTTTATAACATAATTGCTTTGAAAAGGCTAAACTTGTCTGCAATACAGTCGGGTAAGGCAATCCGTTCTTGGAAAAAAGAAAACATCAAGAAAAATCTGAAACCTGCACAATAAAATCAGCACAGATGAGATTAAAAAACTGATGTATCTTTGTAGCAACATGAGTCATCACTTATTCGTATCCATGTTTTTAAATGTAACATTTCAAAAAGACTGAGTGAAAAGAAAAACTGTTTCAGTGGAAGCAGGTGGGTGACAGTGGGTTTCAGGGAAGTTCTAGCTAATATTCAGATACGGCAACCTTTTGTGGTATAATATCGAGCTCTCAAACCAATGGCGCAAACCCTTGTACACCGCCACAGACAGGTTGAATGGCCATCTCCAGAGGTACACAACAATATCAGCACTAACAGGTCTCTCTACTCTAAAACATAAGGACCAAAATGTTCACAAGACCTCAAGTCTACACTTGAGAAATATCATACAGAGTTGAAGTGTATCTGCCGAAATTGTAAAGATTAATAGGAGTACTTGGTAGTCTAATTCAAACTCACAGGATTTCCTGCTGATGTTTGGATTTACACCAGTCTATCTGTGAGGCCTTGACAATAACCTCCCAGGCATGGAAATGGGTAGACTAAGGCTTAGTCTCTGAATATATATAATTTTGATAGTAACAAACAAGCCCATTTAAATTGAAAAGGAGCCCTAGGGAGACCAGAGATTCTGAACCTGGGGAAATCTAGACTTGCTTCGTTTAGGGCTTCAGCACTACAGGGAAGGCTAGGCTGTAGGGAAAATAATGTGGTTCAGGGACTGTGAGACAGACTAGCAAATGGGATGCCTGGTCTGTAAATGTAATTGCATCCCAAACGTTTCATAGTATATATTCAATTCCATTCTCAAATGTTAAGTGCAGGCTACAACATTTCATGTCTATTATAAGAAATACTGAGATAAGTCACTTAAGAAAACGATATTCCAGCAACATCAAGGGTAAGCTAGACAGAGCACCATGCACTGTATGGAAGTGGGGACTTGAACCTGTGTCCTCAGCATGCCCAGTAAACACATGCTGGTGCCACCATCACACAGTTTGCAAGCATAAAATAACATTGTTTTTAACATGTTTACATATGCAGGAAAAGGTTTCCCTAAACAAACATGAACTGACAAATTAAACATGTTCCATCACTATCACAGGCAGAAAACAGAACCCCATGGATTGATAACCACTGCAAACCTTCTGACATCCAAGTGGATACATGTTAGATGAAACGAGTAAAGCTGTTTTCCTACCACCTTATTGTATCCACCCCATAACACTGACATGAGCTGTAAATAGCGGGATCACTTAAGGCAGCCAGTCGACAACACAAAACCACCAATCACTGACTTTCAATAACCAAGCTGCTTCCTCAGCATTCTAGTCATTAGCAGAAATTATTTGGCACCAAAATCAGAGCTATTGGATTGTACATAAATAAAAATGCAAAAATATGTGGAACCCTCTGTTAACAATTCCTGCAGTTATTTCTTTCTTGCTTGTTTCATCCCCTTCATACCGAGCGAAACACAAGGTAACAACAAGTACCATCTTTGAACATCTCACATACACTCGCAAGTCAGTTGTGATAGCCAGGTCTCCCTCCCTTACCAACCAGGCCATCAGTGTAGCTGAACATAGACACCCTGGCAGATAGATACCACTGCTCCCTACATAATGACAAGTCAGTTGTGATAGCCAGGTCTCCCTCCCTTACCAACCAGGCCATCAGTGTAGCTGAACACAGACACCCTGGCAGATACCACTGCTCCCTACATAATGACAAGTCAGTTGTGATAGCCAGGTCTCCCTCCCTTACCAACCAGGCCATCAGTGTAGCTGAACACAGACACCCTGGCAGATAGATACCACTGCTCCCTACATAATGACAAGTCAGTTGTGATAGCCAGGTCTCCCTCCCTTACCAACCAGGCCATCAGTGTAGCTGAACACAGACACCCTGGCAGATAGATACCACTGCTCCCTACATAATGACAAGTCAGTTGTGATAGCCAGGTCTCCCTCCCTTACCAACCAGGCCATCAGTGTAGCTGAACACAGACACCCTGGCAGATACCACTCGTGTTCTGCTCTCTACACAATGAAATCTTCTCCGGTGTGTTCACCACTATTGATCTCAATGGACTCAGCAAGGAGCACCAAGTAATCAGAAATAGATTGTCAAGTTTTGGAAGCAAAGCAAATTTCATTTCACCTCACAAACTCCTGCAATTTCATATCAATGGCCAACTCATGCGAGAAGTAATTCATGAAGGACCACGTAAAATCAGTTGGAAAGTTTGAGTTTGGATTTTTCATTTCCTACAGAACTTGACGTGTAAAGATGATAAGTGGCTGCTTTGTGCTGATAAACGCCATTGAAAATAAGAAATAAACACTGCCAAATAGTTCTACACACATTTATAACACCAATATTGATTTTGAAAAATCTGTATCATAACAATCTGTGAACGGGAAAGACAACCATAAAAGAATTGATTTTCTTGGCTATGAATGATCATATTGTGATCACTCAGAGCAAAACAGGAAAAACACCCATGAACATCGTTACCAGCAAGTTTTATGATCCTGAGCAGTCACACAACTTGGGTGTCCGACACTGCCTCATGTTTCACATCAGCAACCAGTAGTTACACAAACTTTAATCTGCTATTCTCTATGGTGCTATTCCTTCAAAACATACACACTTTATCTGTCATTTAAGATGCAACTTTCCAGATGTTTTTGTTTTAATAAAATCAAATATTTAAGGAGGATTTAATGTTGTAGTTCTTTTGTTAGAACAAAAGCCATTTCCAGTAATAAAAATTAACTTCAACTAAAAGCATACTTTATTTTATGATGGTATTCCACAGCAATGAAACAGTTCAGTTAACTTTGTTAATATCTGATTTGAGAACCCCATCAACTAAAGTAAGTAGATTTATTTCAAACAGATGTGGACAAACAGGCTTCTTACAAAGCAAGAACTGTTCAGGCACCCCTATCACATGACAGTCATGTGACCACTCCAGCTGAAACTGTGTTCCCACAAAGAGCCTCAATGTCACTTGTTTGACCACATGTGAACTGGCAGTGGTAGGGTTTCATCTACTAGGGGTTATCAAAGGGCTACAGCTCACTCAGGTCAAAGATGTAAATTGTGAAGATTTGGAAAGCTTGTGGCTGGGACAGGTTTGTGGACTGGTAGTGGTTGGAAATACTGCGACTTTGGAGTGCCAGTGGATGAGAAAGCTGCAGTATCAGCATATATTTGATCTCCTCCCTCCCTCTGGTTTGTTCATAAAAGTCTCTACATGCTGTTGGATTCCCTGATAATATTATTTCATTGAGCCATATACACATTACATCAGTCTGTAACAGTACAAGTTGAAGGGAGACTGATGAAAAGACAAAGGGTTAACAAGCAAAGTTTCACAGGGAGGAAACATACATATGGAAAATACCAAAAAACAACAACAAACACCCCTCCAAAAACAAACAAACAAAAACACACCAAAAAACAAAACAAGTAAAATGCTTACCTTTTATTTGAGTCCAAATATGCATCATATTCTGAAGCCATTTTACAGCATAATGCATTCCTGAAACAGAATGTCACAGAGGATTGTAGTAAAAATTGATATTCACAAGTACCAGGATTTATGTACACCTTCCTTATGGTAATATTGGACAAAAATGATACAAATACCTAATCTAAATTAACATTCCTTTATTTATTTCCTAACTGTCAAGCCAAGAGGACTTTGTTTATTGTAGATAAATCCCTTGAGTATCAAAAGTAATACAGTGACTCATGTAGACTTATAAACTAAGTAGCCTTGGCAGGCACATGGGGAGAAAATAGTAACTGATATATTGTTCCCAATTGAATTGTAACCATGTTAACACTGCAATCAATGCAATAATGTAAACTAAACATTTTAACCACTTCTTCCTCGGTGGTGCTTCATTAATCTGTTACCTTCATAGCACTGTACAAAACCATGACATTGACAGCAGTCATTATAATATCAACGAGGATTGGCAAATTATGAGTTACAATTTTGGAATTATACTGACAGTTACTTCAGCCTTGAGACAGAATATTTAGTGATAAAAGAATCCTTGCCATATACATCCCTATATATACGGATCAACTGTAATATTCATTTCCAAATAATGTCACTTCTAACTATAGAAACATACACAAAGAAACCTTTTCCTCAGAAAAATAGATTCTTAAATCTTACAAGATAAAATATGATTTCAATATATAACTTCCTGGTTCAGTTTGTGATTGTTTGTTGTGTCCTGGATGAGTCTACCCCGGATTCAGTAAAATGTACCGGTATTGAAAAGTAACAACAATAAAAGTATTTCTTTTTCTGTAACGATAATAGTAATAAGATCATGTAACAGTCTGAGTGCCACTCATCTGAGTTATATATCTAAAGTTTATAAGAAGCAAATTTTTAATATTCACTGTCATGAAGTTCAGGAGAGATTATTTGTTTATTGCTGAAAGCCACAATCAAAATCAACTATATGACAACAGCCTGTACATAATCAAGCCTGGACCAGACTATCAAGTGACTGATATTGTGAGCGATACCCCACTCTGCCAGCAATGGCTGGGTTCATAAAGGCAGCTGTTGTCACACAGCAAGGAGTGGGAGACGTTCAGTTGAACCAGACATTCTCATCACAATTCCACCTCCATACGTGTCAATTCCTACTCACGGCATATTTCAAAGCAGGAAGGAAACACATACTGAGGGCACATGCAACAATGAGTAATGTTACAACACTGAATGGTGACACATCCGGAATATATGTAGTTCAAGAAATTGAAAGGTGAAGATTGTTCTTACTTATCATGAGTTGAAGGGCACTTGGTATTTATCACATGTCCACCTGAAACATTGAAAATAGGGTGATTATTTCAACATTTATTTGGGGGAATTCAGTGGAACACTAAGTAACACCTTAGATATTGAGGGTAATGATAATGACTTTTAGCTGTTCCGGGAGTAATGGTACTCTCTTGTGTGTCACAGAGAACCCACCCAGGGTCAGCTGATATCAATTCTACCATGACAATGAAGAATGAGCTAGGGTTAAGAGTCTGTTTTCACAAGACACATTTAAGATTAAACTCAATAGATCACCTCAACATTTGAAACAGAATAGGTTTATCTCCATTCTACTAATACTAAAACATGTTTCCTTTAATCAGACTCTTTCTTCACGATTTTTATGAATGTTAGCTGTTATAATCCATGGTGAACCATGTGAGCATTCAAAACAGATTAGATTCATCTCATGAACAGTGATCGGAGAGAACAACCAACCTGACTCACATTTACTCCACAGATATTTCAAAACATTTACATCTAATAACATCAATAACATGTCTGATCTCCAAACAATGACAAACTTGAGTAAAAATACAGACTGTTCATAACGGAGACATCCACACAGATCATTTCCAGTTTACAATAGATATGGAAGAACACACATTAAAGCATCCAACACAATAAAACCTGTCTGATCTAAAAATAATGATCAACTGAACTTCTCCAGACAAAGATCAAACCAGGCAGTCATACAGAGACAAGATGGTACTATTTATTACTATCACAACCACATCTATCTTTCCAAGGAAGAAGATTAACGAATCGGGTATCTTTCCTTGCCGCTTTAATCTGATGTTTTTGGCATTTCTCCTTTAATCCAAAAGCAAAAGGTCTTCTCACGACAACCACACAACCTTCCTGTATTCATGTACTATATATTTGATTATCAAAAAAGTTGTAAACATCACTGAATACGAATAATATGCTACTGGCCCTTGAGTCAGTTGACTTCAATTGGGCAGTACTGCCACACTGGGCACAATATACAGTAAGATAGTCTGTCTCACAGTCCCTGAACCACATTTATTTCCCTACTGCCAAGCCCTCTCTGCAGTGCTAAAGCCCTAAATAAAGCAAGTCTAGATTTCCTCAGGTTCTGAATCTCTGGTCTCCCTAGGGCTCCTTTTCAATATAAATGGGCTTGTTTGTTACTATCAAAATTATATATATTCAGAGACTACGCCTTAGTCTAACAGTAAGACAGCAACTGGTGCTGGAGAGACAAGGAGCCAGGAACTGCTGTGTATCAGACATGAGAATGGCAAAGCACAAAAAACACTGAAAATTGGGGGTCTTTTTATTGCAGATTTACATCGATCTCAAAAACGTTCAAAATGAAACAAAAATCCCGGAAATCCCGCAGAAAATTCTTATGTCTGGTGTATTTATCCATATATCTTGTGTCTCAGTCACTACCAACTTTTTATCGCCTACCAAAGATATTTCCCTTCATGATTTAGACAGCACCTCAGACAAATGATTTCCACAATAGTTGTAACCTTACCTGTTTGTTCTTGTAACTTTTTTATCGTCCTCGTCTGTGAAGAAAAACGTCTGAAAATAATAATAGAGAATCAATAACAAGATATCAGTGATGAGCCAAAATGAAAGCCGTACAGAAGATATTCATTATGAAATTTGATGTTGGTTTCGCTAGGCTCCATTACCTGCTTCCTGTTTGTTTCCAAGAAAGACATAAATCCTGAATGCCATCTGAGTCACAACTTGACAGCTTGACATTCCCTGTGTGAAGCTGGGCATTAATGCGCTTCTACACACAATAGAGCCAGTGCAGTTGAACGGACATCATGCATATGTTTTATGTAGACAGGAATAATGTACAGGCAAAAATGCACATTTAAGTTATATTTCTCAGATATGCAAAATGAGGAAGAAAAAAGGCACAAGTCAAATGAAATTACCCTGTTCATTTGATGACATCATTCCTCACAAAACATCAAGTTAAAGACAGATGCCAAATTTTTGCAAGAAAAGCAAACAATGGCCTACCTACCATGTGTATATATTTCAGCTGTTATTCAGGTTAACTGGCTATGCCATGTACAAACTGAGCTCAACTGGTGCTGCACAAATAACATAACTGGTGACGAACTGTCTCTAGCAAGGAATCTGATTTTGTCAGACATCCTATAATCTTGTCCCTGCATACAAATTTTATTGACAGTGCGCTCTGATGCAAATTCAATACTGATAAATATGACATGTAATGGTAACTGACTCATATGCCTGTATAGCAGTAGTAATAGACATAAAAAATCAATACTATCTGATTCAAAACCCAAGCACTGTGTCTGGTGCCTCCTTGTTTTGTTGTTGTCCATCATAGACCCTACATTTCCAGGACTTCCGAAGTTCTAGAGATATGATCATATCAGATGCATGTTCAGTAGGTGGAGACTACAGTCCGTTTGAGTCAGAAATGGACAGATGAATTGCAAATTTTATCATTGTACAAAATTGCCACATAAATATAAATAGTACACGTTTATCATTTACTAATACCCAACAGCTTTCTTATGTTTGAAATTTTCCGGACTCCACCAAAAAAGTTGTTTAAGAAACAATCAACATTGAAAATGCAAAAGTTGTTATCTGTCGCAGCGGGGTGAAACCGCAGAAACCGAACAGCCAGTCATGGCGGGGGACATCTCAAAATCTATTCCGGGAGACCTGTAGGTTCCTTGTCTGTCGTAGTGTCATAGTCACGACTTAAAGGGATGACAAGTGGTGCCACAGTTGCCTGTTGTAAGCCATCCCGAGACCAGTAACCTTGTTCAATGACAATAGCTACCTTGTTGACACAGTTTTGCCAAGTTTCAGTCGTGATTTTGTTAAGGGATTCCTTAACCAAAACCTCTACGTCACGTAATCTAAAAGTTGTGTTTGATCTGGCAACATCTCCTTTGACAATACCTCATATAATTTCAATGGGGTTAAGGTCACAGTGATAGGGTGGAAGTCGCAGAATATCGTGACCCTTACTTTTTATGTAACTGTCAACTTTGTAGAAAGGTTAACCTTTGTGGGTTTTTATGATCTCATATAGCTGAGGCTTCGTTGCATTTGAAGGCCGTGCGATCTGAAATTTGTCGAGCCATGATATCATGTCACCTTTTCGACTGTTTGATGTCGGGGATTTACTGTCTAGACTAACAACTAGTCTCTGAAATGAACATATTTTACTGGAAAAAGTTCATAGTAAAAAAATATAAAATTATAATGAAAAGGAGCCCTGAAGCTGAAGAAATCTAGACTTGCCACATTTTCTAGACTTGTGTGGGCTTTCTTGGATATATTTGCTTCAGGGTCTGTACGACAGACTAGTCGGGATCCTGCACTCTGTGGTATGGGGCATTGTCCATTACGATAAAAGACTTCTCTGGTAGAGCTGGTACCAACTTGTTTTTAACCCAATCAAGGAAAACCACACCATTCATCTCGGAATGGTAGTCTCTGTTATCTGTGGACTTTGCCCTGAATACCAAGTCGCAGCCTGTGAGAAAGCCCTTGCTGGAGCAACCAGCATGGAGAATGATTAGTCTCTCTCCTTTCCCAAGAGGCAGCTTTCTACGTGACCTCTTATCACCCCCATCGGGTACCCACTGACTGCTGGCAGTGTGCGAGGCATTGACCTAGGTCTCGTCCATGTACACTGGCTCGAACCCTTCCTTGCGCTTCTTTATAACCCTGAGAAAATTATTTCTCAAACGATATCAGGGCGTTCACAGAGTACTGACCTATTTTCCCCCGAAATTTTCTTATAACGATACCCGAAAGAGTGTATGAGTCGCCAGAGTGTGTACTTTGATACTCTGAGGTTGTGTTCTTGCTTCAAATGCTTTTTTAAAATTTTCAGCGACATGTATTTGTTTTCAGAATAGAGCTTATTGATAGACTGCCTTACAAGGTTCTTTTGAAAGTTGTCCAAATGTTTTAATTTGTGTGATTTTGACACGACCCCTACCAATGTTTGTGTTCCAGAACATTTGTCAGTACCCTTGCTGATACTCCTAAAGCTTTTGCTGCCCACTTACGGAATTTATTAATGGCATAAAATGGTTTGCCCCTTTCAGCTTCAGCACGGAAAAAATCGTACACTTTAATCATCAACTGTTTCACGTCAGCATTCAACTTCATTTTTCATCAGGCATGTGTATCCCAAGCACGACGAGATAGTGGCTGTTCCGTTTCTGCGGTTTCACCCCGCCGCGACAGATAACAACATTTGCGTTTTCAATGATGATAGTTTCTTAAACAACTTTTTTGGTGGAGTCTGGAAAATTTTCAAACATAAGAAAGCTGTTGGGTATTAGTAAATGATAAACATGTGTACTATTTATATTTATGTGGCAATTTTGTACAATGATAAAATTTGCAATTCATCAGTCCGTTTCTGACTCAAACGGACTGTAGTGCTGGAGCGATTAATCGTAGGATCGGTTAATCGGTCAATCTAAGTCAAAATAAATGATTGTCGATTACAAATAAACTGCAGATCGATAGTCGGAAATAATCATTATTTGGATGCACATACATTAAAACTTTTTATTCTACCTTGTCATGTTTTCTTATACTGAACACTCTGGTTGTCATTGCTTGTTTACCTCTTAAACGGAAGCTGTGTACTACACAAGTGCGCATGCCTCCCCTGTCAGCCAATGGTAATGCCAGATATATTTAGATTGGGGTGTCCTCACTCTCCTATCCAGAGTTCCGTGCGGCAAGTCAGCATAGTACCTCTGCCACAGGCCAGAAAAATGTGACGATTTGTCACATCTTGCAATGTCCATTCCATATTATGTACAGATTTCTTTTACTCTTTTATTTTTGACGAGTGTACACATCTAACTAATCATCTTTAATAGAATCGTTTAGTTTCACTGAGAAAATATCCAAAAACACGTGACACTATTTTGATTTGCATAGCGATCCTTTGTTTATATAGGTTGTACGGATCCACGTGCTGTCATCGAAGCTGATGGAGAGCAAAGGATGCAGCCAGTTTGATATCTAAATATGTACTGTCATAGACCTTACTGTCGCAGTTGTGGAAGAATATATATGTAACAATGTAAAACGTTATGAAGAGAGCGCTGAAAAGCTTTCGTGAGTCCAGTCTCTTCTTATTATGAATATGCGCGTTTGTTTACAAACAAGAGAAAAGTCTGGTCACGTGATATGCAAATTAGCCTGTGGCAGTGATGTTATGTTAGTCATCGCTGTGCCGGAGTGTGGGGTGTCCTATTTTGTCATTGAAATACTACGAGTTGTAAAGTGGTTTATAGAAATTATTTAATATTCATGAGCAAACTCTGCAAAACTCATTCGTCCAATCATGCAACAAAACGTCAAAATACGACCCCGATGTTACAAATTAGCTACTTTCTAATTGGCTGAAAGCGGGAATTCCTTGAGTTGCATTTGCATACAAACACGTGACTTACATGATAGAGCTATTTTCAGTTTCATGAATTCTCTTAAACTTTTGATACAGTGGTTGATTATAATACTTCCCAGAATAAAGTTTGTGTTTCAACCTTAAGGCAATGTCTTTGTTCACTCTTCAACATAAACAAAAGTTTTTTTAAAAAATGGCATGCCATGAAAATAAATCTACCAGCGAGGTCACATGACTAGTAGCATGATCTTGTAAGGTGTGAGGTCAACTAAGCAGACGAAACATTAATGGCATCTTTGGAGTAAAGATTTAGGATCTTTGTGCATTTGATTATGAGGTAGATATTGCATTAAGGATCCCTGAGTTAAAATTAATGTCTTGTGGGTTTTTTATACTGTTGCCTATGCATGGAAACTTGCTTCGTAGCATATCGATGTCAGAACGAAAGCTGGGGATTGCCTTGTTGTCATTCGGGATGCTTCTCATGGATTTTCTCGCATTTACGTGCAATAAACAGGAATTGTAATGGGCGATCAAAAACATATAACGATCGGAAACGTAAGACGATAGGATACTTGATCATGTTGATGATCCAAAGACGCTGCAAATGTAAGTAACTTGCTAGCATTAACAATTGACAAGTGCTGACAACATCCCGGAAGTTAGTTCGCTAACGTAGGTATTTGACAATGAAATGACTGTCCAAATGATTATAATTGAGCGATTATCGATCTGACACTAGCGATTATCGATCTGAAAAAATGTAACGATAACCACCTCTAGTGGAGACAGATACCATTGTCAGCTTTAGCGTGTGATGTAACAGCTGAGGCATGAGTATAACAGGGTAAAGAGTATTGTACCCAAAAAAAGTGAAGAATTCCTATTCACATAATATCAATAACAGAGATGAAATTATACCCATATGAAAAAGAGTGACAAGGAGGCAGAAATTTGAAAATAATCAATTTGTCAACTGACAGAACACATTAAGTGGAACAGCTTCAGTGACAATGAAGGCTTGATCACCATGAAGTGTCCCTTTCCAGTGACATCAATAGATGAAGGATTGGATTTTCATAAGATGATTATTGATTTTGTGACACAAGATTCTTATTTAACTGGCTGTGAAGTA